TCGAAAGCCGGGCAAGAAACGCCAGAGGACGGACACAGGTGGCTCACACACGCATAGTCTCTCTAAAAGACCACGATTGAAGCGACAGACAAGAATTACCGATCCAGAATATGGGGCGCGAAAGGAGAGGCATGCGCCGCGCCATCTCCCAAGGCTAGGCATTTTAGACGCTCCAGATGTTGCTCATCGGCCTCGAAATGAACAGCCTCAATTCTTGAGGGTTGCCGCGCGAAGAGCACGTTCCCGCAGAGATATGGGCAGGAGAAGCCCATCCCGCAAGTTTATCAAGCTGGGATCACGACTGGACACGGAAGATGCTAACAAGGCATTGGGTGAGTGGCGGAGGGGAAAGCTTCGGCAGACACAATTGCCTCAAGTACAGACCAAGCTTCACGCACGACAGCCATTGTTGGATCGCCCTGTCAATCGGTCGGGTGTCGTTATCAATCATAATGCTCACTCGGAGAAAGGCTTCTTGCCGGATCCTAAGAGGACCGCTCAAGTTGGTCTGACCGACGATGCTCCTGATGAGACGCGTTCAGACATCCCACCTCTTTCCCCAACCACAGAAAGGGATGTTTCGTCGCGTCGGAAGCCTGCGTTTGGGCAGCAAGGTAGTAAATGGGTCATTCGTCGAAACTTTGCTGTTTCATCTCTGAAGAGAAACGGCCCACGCCCAGCGGAACCCGAAATAGACGCTAGCACCAACTCTGCTTCACCCTCGCTCTTCCAGAGAACACTTGCGCTGCTGAATCGAGACTATCGGCATAAACGTGTGTCGCACTCGACGCACCGGAGTTTACCCCTTGATCGTTACCTTGCGAACAGCCTCACGCCCACTCTTCCAACCAGCGTTCAATCAGATGTTCCTGCCGAGATCTCGAACGCAGCCACTCATGCGTCGCCTAGGCCTCCAGGTCATAACAGGCGACGTCAATTGAGGAAACGACCGCCTCAGCGACTAGATCTTGGTGCGCTCGATAGTCAGGCGTTTGACACTCCAGATTCTATCATTGTCATGCCGGCAGACGGTGCCATTCTGGAAGATTCGCGTTCTACAATCAGTGCCGGCAACGGATTAAAGTCTTTTCGGCGCACCTACACCGTTGACTTCGACATCACACCTCTTTGCCCTGGCACGTTCTTCCATGAATCTACATTCATAGGGGGTGGCGAATTCTCGCGGTCTCTCAAGGTTGAATCGCGCAATATGGATGTGAAATCTGGTCTGTCTCACATCAAATTGAGAGACCAGTGTTTCCGTTGGGGTCCTTGGAACGACACCGTCTCTTCTGAACTCGGCCAAGTCTTTGACGTTATGATTGAAGAGATAGAGACGAAGGCCGCCTCTCAGATTGCAACAAGCATGGATCACGCGGCCTCCCACGACGCTTGCGCATTGTACAGGTCGATGGTCAAGTATGTCACAGAACACCTGACGTTTGAGGATCCGATCGATAGGATGGGATTTGTCAAGCGAGCCCAGATTCTCATTGCAAAGCTGAACGAGCAACTTACGGCGATGGTGTTGAGTGATGAGCGCCAGAGTAATTATCTCACTCAGATAGCGTCCTACAATCTTGTGTTTGCGAGCCAAGCGTTTCAGGTAGCTCGTCATGCTCTTGTTGATGTTAAGATTGCCAATGAGATCTCAGAAATGGTCAGGTTGGTTGCCAGACGGGCACTGGGTTTCACTGCAAATCGAACGGCACAGACACAGATTCGCTCGTTTCTTCAGGACAACAAATCTCCTACAAAGCGTGAAGCGGGCATCCAGGCGGACCAATCTGTCATCGAGGCCTATGTGATTGTGCGACATGTGTTGCAGTCTATGGATGAACTTAAAGGATGCTTCGGGGAGTTGATTGCTGAAGCCTACTTGTCAGCCGGAGGGGATTTGAGTAACTCAAGAGATATCGATGGTTTCGAGAATGGATGGCAGAGCTTGTTCACCACGTTGCCGCTCAACGAATTTGATTCGTGTGGATTGGTCAGAATTGGATCACGCTTTAGGGAAGCCCATGACAACTGGTTGATGGTGAAACAATTGCTCTCACCCGTTCTCGATAACTACGAAACCAACGCTGCTACGCAACCAATCTCATGCAACAATTACTGCAGGGCTCTTTTCCGCAGATGCTACCATCTCATCAATGGTTGGGGCTGGCGAGATTGCAGGCCTATCATGCAACTCCTGTATGACTTCTTTGCGAAAAAGCATCTCTATGATCTGAAGTTCGAGGAGAGCTACAAGTCTCCTTCTTTCCTCGACGAACTCGACCGCAACCCTTCCTTTGATGTCCAGCCTGGCGACCCATCTTATCATATCTTTTTGAAGATCCTGGCAAGTGGGCTGCGATTTTTGCCATTGTCCTGTGACAAGAAACAGATCCGAAATTTCGCTTGGCGTCTGCTACCGAATCACGATGGGAGATATCCCAAGGAAAAGCCCATTTCTCAATCGGACTTGGACGCTGTGAGGAACCATCACGATCTTCTGTGTACTCTTTACTTTGCTGTTCCTGATGGCTGTCGTCCCCGATTAGAGATCATCAAGACCCTTGTTGACCCTGCCATCTCCCATCGTGAAACGTGCAACATCAGCATTCGGGCGTGGAGCAGACTCGTGCGATTCAAATTATCAACCGACGAGGATGTATCTGGACTTGAGCCATTTGCCGATTGGCATTGTTACTTCCTCAGCGAGGTTTTGAAACAGCACTCCCTCGCACGGAAGGAGATCGAAGCCCAGAACGCTATAGAAAAGAGCTTCTCTCATGAAGAGGTTGAGAAGACAATTTCTCAGAACCAAAGGCAAATCGAGTCGTTGCTCAGCACAGCTCTCGGTGGCCTACAGAACGCTGTTCGCGCGGCTCCGACGCTGGAGCATGCGCGAGTCGTTGTTTCCAAGGCACCTGTTCGGGCCATTCTGAGTCTTTTCAATCCCAGGGTGGCTCGCGTGAATGCTGTAGTTTCTGAGGCGTTACTGGTAATCATTGCTTACCTTCAGAAATGTAACTCGGATCCGGTCCCGGCGGCGAACGCTCCGACAATTTCAGTGGACGAAGACAGCCAAGAGTATGGGGACTGGACTGAAATTGAAGCTATATACGAAGGCGAAAGCCCTCCAGCAAGTAAAGGCGTTGAGCACGTGGAATCGATTTTCCTTCCTGCAGTATCCCGTCTTGTGTCGAACTGTTTTGGCGAGGATCACTGTCCTGAAGATGCGATACTCCTGAATGTTGTTGATTGCTGGACTTCCATTGCCTCTGTTCTTGTGAAGCACAGGCTGAAGCATTGGGATAATTATCTCGATCCTTACGAAGGGGAGTCTTGGTTGTCGCTTCGATCGACTGTGCAGACAAGAAAGTTTACACCCCTCTTCCTGGCCAGCTGTATCGAGAGAGACCCACAATGCCTGTCTGAGTGTAGGCTTCTGATCCTGAGCATGTGGATGTCAAGCTTGGTGGAACGGGTATCGATGCTGAAATTCCAGCATCGTCTCACGGAGGCGCTATTAAATCTCGACACCACGAACCCGTTATTGCACAACTTACCGTTCTCGAAAGATCGGCAGAATGATCGATATTCGATTTCGTTGGAGGATCTCAGCCAACGAAGGTCGTCACTTCTTTCAAGTCTCCTTTCGAATATGCGAGCACACGTTCAGGATCTGGAAGATACAGAAAATCAGGAGTTGTCAAGTACAAGGCGGGACTATAGAGAACTGATTCAGCGGATGATGACATCCATGAAGGCAAACTACCAGGAGCTGGGCAATGGAGGAGCAAGCGCGCAAGGAGCATACGTCGACTTTGTTCATCGGATCGTTGGGTTCCTGCAACAGTACAGCAGGGATATCTGTCCTATTGATTCATTCTTCACTGATCCTACCTCTTTCCCACTCCCTTCGGCGGATCCAACCTACATTGTCGCCAGACTCAAGAGTTACGAACCGAAGCTCTGTTCCGAGAAGGTAGTGAAGACCTTGATCGTGTTTGTCCAAGGCGTATCGGAAAGAGCAGCCATTGATGGGCAGCAAGTATATCTGGTCGACCAGCTACATACATCCATGGCCGATATCTACGAGACTGGAGACCCGTATAAGCCGACTTTGCGTGCAATACTCCTACAATGCGTGTTTTCCGCCTATATCGAGTCCGCGTTCACCAATCCTGCCGCATGGCTCCTCAGTCGACCGATTATACAGACGGTGGCACTCGTCTTCAAAGACTTGCTCTTCTCCATGGATATCACGGATGCAATGTGTCGGTCCTCTGTCTTGGCTATTCTTGGTGCTGTCTTCCGATCATCCTACCAAGCCTTTCGGTATATCACAAGAACCCCCCGCATGCTTACCGACTCTACTGTGATCACCACACTTACTAGTCTTGTCGGAATGATTACCTCTGCGCTCCCAGTTGTGGATTACATAGATCGAGCGACGGATGTGGGAGGATGTGCCGTCTCGCAGATCGGTGCTCTTCGTGGACTTGTTCTTTCTGTCGCGTCTTCCCTTCGTGAACAGCCGCTGGCGAGCGAGGTATTGGACTTGGTACAATCGTCCAAGGCCTTCGATAACGACAACACTACGAACCCTGCTGTCCCGTCGTTTTTCCGGGATCTTCGCACTGCCGCAACGCATGAACTGCAAGTCTATCTCAACGACAGCTGGTCCCAGCATCAGGGGAAGTACTACTTCACTCGGCGTGGCGTTCACCAGCCACAGGAAGTCCAGCTTGAGCCTTCAGTCGCGGCGGAGATCGAGCACGCACCAGCGGCATTTGACCAGGCTGTCCATACCTTTTTGGATACTGTGAGGGCCGTTGATTTATTTGATGAGGCGGATTAACTAGCTCTGTGCTGGTCAGCTATGTAGTATATATCCGATGTCGAGGCGAACCCTTCATCAGCCGGTTACGGTGTTTGAACTGTGATCCGTTTTATGCCCTATATAGATTATGAGATGACCAACTGCATTAGATGAATGAATTAATGACTTAGTGGAGCTCTAACCCAACTTCCAAAAAGGAACCAGTATCCCAGTATCGTGACAGACCACTCTGCCTGGCCAGAACAACAGCCTCGAAGAACTCGGACACATCCAACGCTCCATCGAAGTGATGCTGCCCTCCAACGATAATATGAGGCACACCCTGCACCCCAGCGTCTCTCGCCTGTCTTCCCTGTTCCTCGATCTCCTCTACCCCCTCATCCGTCGCCAACCAACCCCTCACCTCCTCCTCCCCAAGCCCAACCCGCCCACCAGCCTCAACAACAACATCTTCCTCACTAACATCCGCCTCGCGCTCAAACTGATAATGAAACAGCATCTCCGCAAGCCGGTCCTGCACCTCGCCCCCTTTCTTCTCCTTGACGAGATGCAGCAGCCGGTGCGCGAGCCTCGAACTACCCACGTACCCGCCAAACTTGAACTGTATGCCGCTCGCCGCGCCCACGCGCTTGAGACGGGTCTGCGCCGCGGAGACTTGCTCGGGCGTCATGCGGCGGAGCATGCGGTCTATCTCTATCACACTTAGCTTGTCCCTTTTCCATGACGGTATGGTGTGGTGTGGTGTGCGGGTAGCTGAGGCGGACATACCCTGGACCAGGATACTCTCGGCGGGAGGCACCTGGTCGATGAAGTAGGGTGTCCAGGTGATGCTGAACGAGTCATTCGAGCCGTCGGGGTAGGTCTTCTTGTAGAGAGTGATTGCTTTTTGGAGGTTGCGGGAGGCGATGTAGCACTTTTGAGCTGTTATATATTGGTGGTTGCGAGGGTGGAGATGGGAAGATATGAATGCATGTGCGCACTTACCCATGGGCAGATCACGTCTGAGACGATCTCGATTTCAATGATGGCCATATTGAGGGTATGTGTGTGTGGCGATTGTTTCTGAGGAGGGAATGTTTTTCTGCTTGGGGGGATTTCTGGCGGGTTAGGGGTTATTGTGCTGCCTGTGTGCTTACGATTTGTGAAAGTTGCCTAGTTTGATGACGGATGGATCGTGCTTGAGCTTGTGCTGCTTATGATAGTTGTCGAGTTGGGATACCGAGATGATTGTGGTAGGGTTAGTGTCATGCTAGAGGGCTATACCCGGCCTTCGATCATGAGAGCCATATCGTCCATTTCTGATATCGTCACACAAACTCATAACAGTAGAAAAGAACAAGAAGACATAGAGATAGACAGAGTGCAAACACATTCAAGCCACTCCCAGATGATACATCCTGTTCGCCCAAAGACCGTCCGTAGCACCAATTCAATGCAACCCGAACATGAAATCTGAAGCCAAGTTCATCACAGCAAGAGAACAGCTAGACGCAGCAGAAACGCAAACTGCAAACTCATCTACTCGGATGCCCAGCACCCGGAGGACTAGACGCTGCGGGCTCCCCGTCCCTCGGGTGCCCGTCGTGCGCCTCGGGGTGACCGCCATGACTCGAGCCGCGGCGATGGAACGGGTTCGAGTGGAAGCCGGAGAAATGGAAAACCTTCTTCACAGCGCCGACGACGCTCGATCGCCTCTTGGACTCGGGCGGTGCTTGTGTGTCGCCTGCGGCGCTGCCGTTCTTACGCACGATGGAGTCATCCGGGAGGACGATAGAGGTCGGTTTGGGGGGCCACTGGCCGTCCGATTTCCATCCTTGCACCATGGCCTTGACGACATCGGCTAGGTTGATGGGCACCGTGGGGGTCAGCGCCTGCACCACCACCTTGGAGTAGATGGACGGGTACATGGCAGGCGTGATTGAAGCGCGGACGGGGTTGCTTACAGGGATGAAGGACGGGGCGACAGGTATGAGGGGGTCGCGGACTTCGCCGGCCGGAGGAGGAGGTGTAGGAGACACAGACTCTTCATGCGAGGGTTCTGGGCCTGGCACGGCCAAACCCGTCTCCGTCGATTCCTTGGCCCTTTCATTCAGAGCTTGATCTGCCGGTGTCGACTCTGTCTGCGCCTGTTGCGGCTCGGCATCAGCCCCTTCCTTCTCAGCGATCGCAAGCGACGTCCCCGTCCGCGCAGCAAGATCAGAGGTCTCCTCCCGCTCAGCACTCATAGCCCGCGACTCCCCCGGAGGATGCACGGCAGGGCCTCGCTCTCGCCCCTCCGTCGCCCAAACCTCCTCCTTCGATCGCGCCCCCGTCCACGCATCCCGCCTCTCAACCCACGTCCGCAATCCGGTGTTCCACCGCATCTCGTCCTCCTCCAGCCGTCTGCGCCGCTTGCGCCGACGCTCCCGCGCGGTCACTACCCGCGACGAATCGGAGGAGCCACCGTCGAGGTCTCCAGGGCTGTCTGGCTCATCCTGCGGCTCTAATTCGGACCCGGAGCTGTCGTATTCGCGGAGTCGCCATTCGAGCCATTGTTGCTCGGGGGCTGCGGGCGTGGCTGATGGGGGCGCGCCAGATGTGGACGAAGAGGGCTCAAATGCCCAGTCGTTTCGGACGACTTCGACGACGTGCCGTTTTGCTTCTCGGATGGCTGCGTCGCGTGCCTCTGCCGACATGGTAGGAGGCTTGTGTGAGGGGAGGGGTGAGGGGACCGGCTGCGGAGGGTCGTGTGGGCTGATCGACAAGGTATATAGAGATGGGTCCGAGCAGACCCCTTGCTGTGACCCACGTGGAACCCGTAGAGCACGAAATTAGTGAAAAGGGGTTCCTGGAGTTGTGTTGATGTGGCGGAGTTGCAGCGACTGAAGGGGCGGAGGGGGAATTCGTCGATGTCATCGCGACAAAACAAACTCTGTGCGTGATGGCGCCGGCAAATCAGCCGTCAATGCAATATCACTGCCAGTTTGATATTTGGAAGCTCACGCAGGGAATCTGATGAATATATACTTTTTCTTAGGCAGAATACTAATACAAGCCCTATCTATACCATATCGCTAATAGTACACAAGTCGTCACATAAAATCCCGAGTCCATATTATGCATTGTTGGTCGATCTTCCCCTTTAACCAGACGAGATTACCCAAGAATTCAGTCCCAAATCGAACTTATTCAGGTCCGGACACGCGCAGCATCTGTTTCGGCCTGCTCCGTACCAAGAGGCATGAATCCCCATCCGGCGCTCTTCTTGCGACGGCCTTTACGGTCACCGTACTGCTCGTCGAACTTCCTGATCGCCGACAGGGAGGACATATCTTCGCTGATTGACGCGCTGATCTCTTCCATTCCCCGCTCAAAGTGCGCCCGAGTCAATATGCGACGTGCTGGATACTGGTACGGCTCGGCCCCCTGATGTTTGGCCGCCATGTCGTTCTCTTCTCGAACGCAGGCCAGAGCGGCCGCAACGCAGAGATTCTTCAGATCGGAGCCGGAATAGAGGGGAGTCCGATGAGCCAATTCAGCTAGATCGACCGACTGATCGACGGTCTCGTCCTTGAGGTGGATCTTCAAAATGGCCAAACGATCCTGCTCCGTTGGAAGGTCCACAAGAAGTCGCCTTGGCAGACGTCGAAGGACGGCGTCATCGAGGTCGAATGGCCGGTTGGTTGCAACCATGATAAATGCAGACATGTCGTTCATTCCGTCCCACTCTCGAAGGAACTGATTGATGAGCTCCCGATGCGAGGTGCGACTACTTGCCCCGGTCCGGGAACAGAAAATGGCATCTGCCTCGTCAATGAAAACCACACACGGGCTCAGTTTCTTCGCCAGAGTGAAAATAGCTTTGACGTTCTTCTCGCCCTCGCCGACATACATATCGTACACCTCGGAACCGCTGACCTCCAGAACAGTCGCACCACTCTCCCGAGCAACGGCCTTTGCAAGGAGGGTTTTACCGGTACCTGGCGGGCCGTAGAGCAACAATCCCGGAATTTTGTCCGTGGCCAAGACGCCATATGTGAAAGCCTCTGGCCGGATGAGGGACAGCGAAGTCAGCGTCTTCAGCGCATCGATAGTCTCTGGGGGGACATGCACATCGGCAAATGTTGTCCGGATATTGCTGGCATCGACAACGCCATTCAGCAACTTCTTCTCGTGGGAGTTGCAGGTTTTGCGCAAAGAGTTCAATAAACGCTCCCTGTCGGTAGCTGTCTCAAGCGTAGATTTTGGCGTCCTCTCTTGTAGCCAGTCATTCTTGGTTTGGTCTGTCTTGTGCATCATCTCAATACCACGCTGGATGTGTTCAAAGCCCAAAGGTTCGTTGGGGCCAACGCTTCCAAGGGCAAGTGTTGTCGCCCAGTGGATCTGACTGTAAGGCCAGTAGCGCTCATCTAGACCAGACTCCTTCACTAGGGATGGAGGTAGTGGCCAAGACCGATTTCCGAAAATGGAGTCTTTGACTGCAGAAGAGCTCTCATTCAACCGGGTACGAAGCATATCCTGCATATGCCGAATGTTGATGTCCAGCGTACGCCGCTTGCGGTCTTCTGCAAACGTGTTTTCCACCATTTTTGACTCCATTCCCGGAGTAATGACCAGCATTTGTGAGAAATGGTCGTCAAATGCATTTTGCATGAGTCTCGCCGAGTCCGAATCGGGGCTTATTTCCTGCGCCGAGGTGCCAATGAACAGAACTCGAGTACCAGCCTTTCTCCGGTCCATGATGGCTTTTTGCAATAGAGTAACAAACTTAGCACCTTCACGTGTCGCCTGGATTTCCCCATAGTCCTGCACCTGCACGATGACGTCGCGAACGGCGCCAGACTGCGACTCCGACGATGATTCCGTCTCAGCTACTGGCTGGGACCGCTTGCTGGGTGAGCTGATTAGCTCGTGAACAAGGCGAAGCCGCCTATCTTCGACTCGGTCACTCGGATTTTGTGACGCAGCTGTACCATCCAGAGGCCCGTTAAAGGAGGTCATTAATGATTTGAGACCAAGAATACTTGGCAATGGAATATCACCGGTATTGCTCGAGCTCGAGATCGTGATAAATTTCGGTGCCTTTAAGCCAGGCCGGAAATTTCTCGGCGGCACCGAAGTGTCGATAAAGTCGGTCTCGTCCGCTTCACTCTCGTTCAGGTTGTCTCCCAGATCCTGCCACGATTCTGCAATAGACGGCCGGTAGACCTCGTAGCCTAGGGACCTGATAGGCGACGTCGCACCGCTGTCCGCCATATCTTGTTCACTGCATAGCTGAGCAATGTCCTGGGCATTCAACGTCACGACATCCGCGCCTAGCTCCTGGGCCAATCGCTTCACGACCGCATCCAAGAATAAGATGCCATCCACTCCCGGGTATTGTAGAACGAGGTGCGATTTCTGTGCCGAAGGTTCTTTCGCGTATTTGGCAGGTGGAAGCCGTAAGCCTGCTTTTGCAGACGCGCATAGTTCTTCCCACAGCGGTTCGCTTAAAACATACCGATGTCCTGTGTCGCTTTGTCCCTCAGATGGTAACGAGTCTCCTCCATCACCACCACCCTGGAGCTGGGCATGCGCCTTCGGGTTCTTCGCCTCCGTCTCCAACCGACATATCTCAACCTGCGGTCGGGACTGTGCCACAGCCTGACCTTCAACACCATGCAAAACAGTATTTCGTTCACGAAACCATTGCGGGACAGTTGCCACCGGAGCAGTCAGATCTTTGCCTTGTCTCCGGTTCCTTAATGCTCTCCGTACACCTGACCCATAGGGGCCCGAATCTTTCTTCACGGATCGTTCTGTAGGTGTTATCGGACTTGTCGAAGGAGCATCTTCGGAGGGCGTATGTTCCGAGTTCAGCGCAGGAATATCGTGAGCTATGCTTTCCGGAGGCGAGTCCCGAGAGTCGCTGGGATCAGCCGGTGCGCTCGACAGCCATTTCGGCGTAAGATGAAAGCGACGTGCCGACGAGGCGAGAGTTGGGGGGTAGCGGCGATGGGCGACGAAACGGCAGGGTCGGGCGAGGGACGAAAGTAGCCTGCCCTGTACCATTGACGAATACATCCGGGGCAAACGCTGCCACCGGAACTAGAGTGTGAAGGGTATGCTGATTTTGCAAATCGCAAACGTCTGCATCAGCCAAGTTGTGAGCAAAGAAAGTTGCGACAGTTGCTCCGATGCTGATCCTGCTTTGCCGACGGAGAGTTTAGTCACGTGATATTACTTTGTGGCTTTGTTTGCATGGCTGGCAAGAAGATGAGCACATTAAGGATTTGCGAGCTGAATTTTTAGACGTTTTGTATACTCGTAGATAATACGCGTAGCAGCTCAATTGCCTATCAGTCCAAAGTCATGTTTACAACCTTGGTTGAGCGTTTTCAGCAGAGCTTCAAGGATGATCTATGCAGTTTGGAAGTTTCTAAGATAATAATGGCCTGACGTATGATCGACACTACATGGTATTCCAGCGTGATGACCATATATCGATGAGAAGCGCAGGATGTACAAGATTTACTGGATCCAACAATGAAATCAAAATCGAGATTGGCATTAATGACTATGAACTGTTCTATGTAGCGGCTGTTCCATGTGACACGGCAAGATAACTGAACTCAGCCGAGACGATGCAACAGTATGGGTTGACTCGATCCTTCGACCTTCGACGATTGACACTAGACTGATCCGAAGTCAGTAAATATTTCCAGACTGTAAGGCATGCAAAACACAAAGCAGTTGAGATAGTTCTCAGACAAAGTATACTGGCAAGTAGCAGACCAACCGGGAAAGGAAGGTCCGGAATGTCTCGTCAAGAGCGATTCGGTGAGTAAAGAAGTAAAATGGGTTTTGTCATCTTCGAAGATGTGTTTGGTAAATCAACAAGAAGAAATAGTGGACTAACCTTGTCAAACGTCCCATGAAGGCATCTCCAGAGGTGACCTGATGTGTTAGCAGTGGTATGATCATGCATCAGGATGTAGAACCAATGCATTGTGATTCGGCATCCTTCTGCACACCATACAATCATTCATGTAGTTCCACCTGAATCATCAATTGAGATATTGAAAAGCTGAGATATTTATTGCCAACAACGTTGAGAAGAGAGAGCAAAAAGAATGTTTGTGTGGAAGAGAAGAAGGCAGAAGAAAAAGAAAAGAAAGAGTGGGAACAAGCAACAACCTTTTTCCGATACTCACGTGATCCCTACTACATCGGGACTAGCGGCTTGCCTGATTCGTGCTGGCCGACGGTCGCCGTCCAGCAAAAACGAAAAGCCTCAGAGAAAGAGACAGACGGGTCTCTCTCGCCATAGAGCGTCTTCTTCTGACTTTTACCCTCTGGTCATCCCCCCCCCTGACCTTATCCACCTTGACTGGTGGCATCTTTTTTCTTGAAAGTATTCTTCTTGTATGTGGTTTGTATGTTCGTATTCTTCGATTTATCCGATCAGTCCACCAGCGTTTGTTTTCTGGATCAAGAAAAGAGCGATCATCCAACTGGCGATCGCGACGGGGTGCCCGTCTGCCCTTCTCTCGCTCTCTCTCACTCTCTCGTTGGCCCCTAGCCCCTCCACATCTCCGTCCGGCCTCCTAAACCCATCACTATTCCTTATTCCACCTCTGGCCTGGCCCTCGTTCTCGACAACTGACCAATTTCGGTTTTCGATGATATAGGAGTCTAACGACCTGGTGGCTAGAGATTATCAGGGCCCGTTTCAATCAATCAATCCATGCGCCAACAACGCTCGTCTAATTCCCAACGATAACGACGCAGGTTCGGTCGCCCGACTGCTGCGTCTTGGCCTCCGCCCCGACGCTAAAAGCGGCCTGTCGTTCCTCCACGTCAAGAGCGCGCTCTTTTTGACTCCGGCAGACGTCCGCCTTTAATCTTAGCTGTCGATATTCCTACTTTATTATTTTATCTACCCGTCCTGCTCATCCTCAGTATCACTACCTCTCTCTTCCACCCATTTTAGGAGTCCCGTTCTCGGCGACTTCGCTGCATAGCGATGATGATGGCGCAGCCATTTCCTGCCCATCAAGGCATGCCGCAACATCCTGGACTGCCGCCAGGTCATCCAATGGCCCCAGGACAGCATCCGAACGCTCATCCTGGTGCCGGGATGGTGCAAGCGGTGCACCCGGGCGTGTCGGGGCCAGGAGGGCCTCAAGTCACTCAGGGTGGACCGATGATGGGAATGCCTCCAGGAGCTGGAACAACAGGCCCTGGCGGTCCTGTCCAGGCTCATGCACTTTCTCATTTGGGGCCTGCGCAGGCGCATCTGTTCCAACAACCGCAATTTGCTCAAACATGTACGTCATCTTTTCCCGAACGAAGACTTTGCTGGACATTGTCAACTTTGATGGGGTGACCTTTGATAACCGTTTCTCGCTGACTTGTTTTTTTTTCAAAATAGTTGCCAATAATCCTCAATTGCTACAACAACAACACCAGCACCAGCAACAGATCCTTCGACAGCGCATGATGTTCCAGCAGCAGCAAGCAGCTCAACAACAGCAGCATGCAGGTCTCCCAGTGTCATTACCCAATGGCACTCAGGGTCTAAACGCTGCTCAATTAGCGGCCATGCAAGCGAATTCCGGAATGCGACCGGTCAATCTACAAATGCACCTCCAGCAAATGCCTCATGGCCCTCAAAACATTCAGCAACAGCAGCAACAGCTCTTCGCCATGCAGCAGGCTCAACAAGCGCAACAGGCACACCAGGCGCAGCAAGCCCAACAAGCTGCTGCCGCCGCCGCCGCTGCCGCCGCCGCGCAACCGGGTCAGCATACACCGCAGCAGCGTCATGCGACACATCCCCAGAATATGCATGACGCTCAAAGCGTAACACCTCAGCCGCAACCACCACCACATCAGGGAAGCAGTACGCCTCAGTCGAACCCTCCCCAACCGCCCTCCACTCAGCCTCAGCAGCAGCCAGGGGCTGCCCCCCAACCGCATCCGACACCAAACCCGGCCCCGCAACAGTTGCCGCAGGCACAGCAGCCCGGCCAGCAGCAACAACCGCCGCCGCCGCAGCAGTCGGCGCAGTCACAATCACAGCAGGGGCAAGGCCAACAGCAACAAATGACACCCCAGGAGGCTCAATTGAAGGCCCAGCAGACTCAGAATCAGGCCGCCATGATGATGCAGCAGAGGATGAACATGAAAGGCACTTCGATTCTGTCCTTGCACGCTTTTGCGGAGCATTTGAGTAACTTTAGCGTACGTTGGAACTTGTCGCACATGCTAGTGCTGCCTAGAGATGGTGCTAACCTGACGACAGACCCGCGGCGAAGCTCAGGATTTGTTGTATTGGCAGGCATTTGTGGACAAATTCTACTCTCCGGTTGGCGTTCTTCGACAAGGGGTATACAATCCCCAAGCGGGTTCGAAGCAGTTCGAGATCTCGACGCCGGCCCTAGCGCGGTATTATCTGACCCAATTCACAAGTGGAATCCGTCAGATCCAGATGCTCGTTGAAGGTGCGCGTGAGAGAGATTCGCCCAATGGGGGTCACATTGTGGAGAGTCCGAGGACGTCGTTTATCTACTGGTTCACCAATGACTCTCAGGTTCGTTTACTATTCGCCTTGTTGTGAGATGCCTTGCTAACTTCCCGAAAGCTATTCACCAATGGGACACTTAGAGCTCACTTTGATCACAATAACAAGATTGAGATGCTCGACATTGTTGTGATGAATCATACCGAGTATCTTCCACGGAGCCAGCTACAGGCGCTAGAGTTGTCAGAGCAGAAGCAGAGCCCGAAAGTCTCCAAGAATATGGGCAAACGGGCTCAGCAGAAGCAGGCTCAGCAAGCCGCTCCATCCCTGCCCGAATCTATGGTGACGGCAAATGGTGTGCCAACAGCGGTCATGAGTTTCCTAGAAGTGGCGGAGACGATCTCGCATATGCAGATGCTGTTTCAATTCTCACAGCAAAACCCGCAATTTTCCCCTCCTGAAGCACTACGGAATCTGGTGAACACACTGCAGAGCCAAAATCCCAATCCAGGGTTCATGCCAGGCCCCATGAATCCGGCAATGCAAGGCCAGAATCTACGAGGACCCCAGATGAACGGACCCAATCAGTTCGCATCCCCCGCAATGGCTCATCTCGGGTTGCCCGCTCAAGGCTCTCCTCACCTCTCGGCCCACCCGAGTCCAGCCCAGAGCCATCTCGCCGGTCCTCCTGGCATGGTACAGCAAGGGCAGATGCAGCCCAATGTGGGCCAGGCCACTAGTGCTAGTGCCAGCCCGCAAGTAACCAACAAGCGTCGACGGGCCAGTACCGTCAAGGTGGAAAATGATGACACTGGTGCTCCGGAAGTCAATGGAACTGCCACCCAAGGTGCGGGCAAAGTCAAAGCCAGTCCTCGGGTCGGTGGGAAAAGACAGAAGGGTGCTGCCTGATACTAGAGATGGTTTCCTTTTCCGCCTGGGTTCATTCGTCTCCTTTCTTGTCCTTTTATTGATCCATTACCGTTCCATTTCAGTCTCGAGAAGCGGGGAACTGGCGTACCATAGGATATCTGTTTGAGGCTTTACTTGCTCATCTTTTTTCTTTCTTTTTTTACGAATCTGGGTGCGTTCTATCTTCATCTCATCGCTTGAATATATCGGATGGTGCGTTTTTTTCCTATTACACGTCTGTTGCGTCGTTCAATCCCTCTCTCCTGCTCCTGCATCGCATGCGATCCCGCTGGCGATTACTCGGTTCTGGTTGTCTTTCATCACACCGGCGAGATGGATGGAAACATGTCATCTCTTGTCCCGAGTCGCGAGTGGGATCCCCACGGCAATTTTTCACGTTGAATATGAGGTCTCCTGATACAAACCGATATCAGCCTAATGTACTTTATCTACTTCGTCGTTTACCATCTGTGGCTTTTGGTTTGGACTTGTTAAGTTTGTGGCTTGGATCGCACATTCTATGAGCTTTTGCTTTCCTCGACGATTCCGAGGAATGATGTCTTTTGGGTCCTTGAGCTCGATTCCCGCTAGCGTTGATGATAATTGACATTGAACGCTCGTCCACTTGCTTCTGATATCCGTGCTATACAATCAGTCTGTTGATCTGGCGTCAGGTGCTTGCTTGCTCCTTTGAAGATTATGCTTCTCTGCTTCTCGTTTGCTTGCTATAGCTGTGTGACTCTAAAACGGAGACGAGAACGAATGGCCGTCTTCTTGCTTCTAGCCTTCACTTGTGCTTGTAGAGGGTGGGCAACACCTTCCGGCTAAAATTTCAACTCGGTAATGTTTGACTCCAGCGATGGGCGAAAGCTTCTCTCTAGTGATCGACGGATTGAGATTTACGGCACGATCAACGCCTCCTTTAGCTAGCTTATCGGTGATATGCGCCACATTCTTTAAACCATGTGCAAGGTCATTTGCTATCGCTGTCGCGAAGACTAAAGGATATAAATAATAAATCAGACATGATCTTTTTCAGTATGAACCAAGCCCCTATTGAGGATTTAGACAAAGCAACATGCCTCCTCTAATGTACCTTTTATTGTCATCGGAGGACGCCGCCTTGGCCAAGTCCCCCGATGCATCTCTATCTGGCACTGCCCCTCATTCTGGAGATAGCGAGCCCACCTTTCTCGCCCTTCCTGCGTTGAATTTCCTCCGCTCATCAATCTCCTTACCCTGCTTGTCGTCTCAAGCAACCAGAAAGCATCATGTCTCACTCCCACTCTCACGACCACGGCGTAAGCCATTCCCACGATGACCCATTCGGAGGCCACGGCCACTCCCACGAGATCCTCGACGGGCCGGGCTCGTACCTGCATCGCGAGATGCCATTGATCGAAGGCCGGGACTGGAAAGACCGTGCCTTTACCATCGGTATTGGAGGGTAAGTCACTCTCTTTTGCGGTCTACGCTACATACTAATCGCCCGTTGTCATTGTTCTAGACCAGTGGGGTCCGGCAAGACGGCGCTGATGCTCGCGCTCTGCCACGCCCTGCGAGACCAGTATAACATTGCCGCTGTGACGAATGATATTTTCACCCGGTGAGTTGGCCATTCCTGTCTTCGCGACCACGCCCACGCTGCCTTGCGAAGGGTTCATGCGTCATCGTACTCATGCACCTCCCGTCCCAACAGCGAAGACGCCGAGTTCCTCACCCGGCACAAAGCCCTCTCGCCCAGCCGCATCCGCGCCATCGAGACGGGCGGGTGCCCGCACGCCGCTGTCCGCGAGGACATCAGCGCCAACCTGCTCGCCCTGCAGACCCTGCAGAAACAGTTCCGGACGGATCTGTTGCTGATTGAGTCCGGCGGCGATAACCTGGCCGCGAACTACTCGCGCGAGCTGGCCGACTTCATCATCTACGTGATTGACGTTGCGGGCGGGGATAAGGTGCCCCGCAAGGGGGGGCCGGGCATCACGGGGTCTGATCTGCTGGTTGTGAACAAGATTGATCTTGCCGAGGCGGTGGGGGCGGATC